GGGGACACACAACCACTCACATCTCTCATTTAATCCACATCACTAAAAGGTCTTGAGCCCTTCAGAGGCTTGGCTGAGGCACTGGCTTGGAAGTAAATATTTTTACTGGCATTTTTGCAAGGACCCAAAGCTGCCATGGTAAATATATGACTTCAGATGCTCAGTCCCTTCCAACTGTTGGTTATCCGATGGCCATTATTTGGCCAGGATAGGCTCTTCAGTAACCGCCTCTTTTTCACACAAGCATGGCAGCATTAGTACCGCTTTATAAAGCCTCAGTAAGGCCATTCCTGGAATCCTTGCATCCAGTTTTGGTCCCCACATTACCCAAAAGAGGTTGAGACTTTGGAAAAAAGTGCAGAGAAGAGAAACGAAGACGATGAAAGGCCTGGAGACTAAAACATACGAAGAAGGCTTGCAGGAATTGGGCATGTCTAGTTTAATGAAAAGAAGGAATGGGGAGGGTGACATGATAGCAGTCTTCCAGCATTTGAGGGGCTCCCACAAAGAGGAGGGGGGGGTCAACTTATTTTCCAAAGCACCAGAAGGCAAGACAAGAAACAACGGATGGAAAAACTAATCAAGGAGAGAAGCAACCTGGAATTAAGGAGAAACCTCCAGGCAGTGAGCACAATTAACCAGCGGAACAGCTTGCCACCAGAAATCGTGGGCGCTCCCTCACTGGAGGTTTCTAAGAAGAGACTGGACGGCCACTTGTCTGAAATGGAATAGGCTCTCCTGCTTGAGCAGGGAGGGTGGACTAGAAGTCCTCCAAGGTCCCTCCCAGCTCTATTCTACTCTGAAACCCCAGGAACCGCTTCCTTCCAAGATGAAAAATGGAGAACGGAGAGTTCCCAGGCAGCGAAATTGGATCGGTGGCCTCAACAAGACGCTTACCCACCTCGTCACAACAACAGCAACAACAACAAAAAAAAAAAACCACACATCCATAAAGATTAATTACCCCAGTTAGCTCTGCTTGCCAATCTGACGGATTGCTCTCTTTTCAAGCGGCCTCCGTTTTCACACGGCCAGCCGGCTTCACAGGGATTTCATCCGTCAAATCCCAGGACCCCCCCCCCCAAAAAAAAACCCATCCCGGATTAACCCAAGGTTGGAATGAAGACGGTACACAAAAGGGAAGAAACTGAAGTTTGGCATTGGGGCGGTTTTCCCACCCCAACGTCTTCGATGCTTGAGGCGGCTGGAGAAGGTTTTCGGGCTAATGCCCTTCCTTCTGCATAAATCAGATTTATCCATTATCCCGGATAAAGTTAGCAGCACAGGCAATCCTTGCCTTAACGGCCACAATTTCTGTGGCTAAGCGAGGCAGTGGCTGCCTGCCGACCAAACTAGGGCTTCCTTGAGACCGTCGTAGTACAGGGAGTCCTCGACTTACGACCACAATTGAACCCCAGATTTCTGTTCCTGCCCAAGGTAGTTGTTAAGTCAAGGGACTTCAAACCTGGCCCTTTGATGACTTGTGGGCTTCAACTCCCAGAATTCCTCAGCCAGCCTCCATTTTGTTTGTTAGATTTAAGACAGGGGTCTTCAAACTTGGCCCTTTGATGACTTGTGGACTTCAACTCCCAGAATTCCTCAGCCAAGCATGCCAGTAGGGCTGGACTCTGCTCTCAATCTGTCCTTTTGCTACTTTGCATTCCTCCTCCTCCCAGCACTGATAATGTTGCCTAGTTGGGTAATGAAACATCTGCCAGAAAACAACCCAGCTCGGAGAGCATCAAGGGCCCCACAGTCCTCAATCTCCTCCACCACCTCCACCACCTCCTCCTCCTCCTCCTCCTCCTCTTCCCAGCACTGATCACCATTTTTCCCCTTCCCAAAGACCCCTTCCAGTCCTCCTCTGTGCCCTCTTCTTAAACCAGCACTCACACGATCAAGAAAATTAGATGCCTTTTCAAATATGCTGTGATACCATTTTGGGATTTTAGACTTAAGTGGGAAGTGGCTTTGATTGAGCAATGGATGGAAATTAATCAAGGAGAAAATCAATCTAGAACTAAGGAGAAATTTCCTGACAGTGAGAACAATTAACCAGTGGAACCACCTGCCTCCAGAAGCGGTGAATGCTCCAACACTGGAGGTTTTTAAGAAGATACTGGACAGCCATTTGTCTGAAAAAGTATATAGGGTTTCCTGCTTAAGCAGGGGGCTGGACTAGAAGACCTCCAAGGTCCCTTCCAACTCTGCTATTCTGTTATTTTATGATAATGGACATTGTGGGTGCTCCAACACTGGAGATTTTTAAGAAAAGATGGGACAGCCATTTGTCTGAAATGACATAGGTTCTCCTGCTTGAGCAGGGGGTTCGACTAGAAGACCTCTAAGATCCCTTCCAACTCTTATTCTGCTATTCTGAGCTTTGGTAGTAAATATACTGGAACCTCTTAATGCCATGTTTAAGTCCCCTTAGACTAATTCAGTGTTTCTCAATCTTGGCCACTTTAAGACGGGTGGACTTCAACTCCCAGAATTCCAGAGCATGGCATAGCTGGCTGGGGAATTCTGGGAGTTGAAGTCCACCTGTCTTAAAGTGGCCAAGGTTGAGAAACACATAGTCCAACAGTGAACACCACCCGTGGTGTCTTCAAAAGTATGTAGCCCAGTGGTGGGTTTCAAATACCTGAACAACTGGTTCTCTGCGTAGATGCAGGCCTGGGCCTCTGAGGCCTAGAACGGACTTCCGGAAGTGGCATCCATGCACTTCCGGCAAGCCATTCTGGGTCTGGGAGGCCTCTTCCTGGCCTCCGAGGCCTAGAACGGACTTCCGGAAGTGGCATCCGTGCATGTCCGGTGAGCCGTTCTAGGCCTGGGAGGCCTCCTCCTGGCCTCCGAGGCCGAGAATGGACTTCTGGAAGTGGCATCCATGCACTTCCGGCGAGCCGTTCTAGGCCTGGGAGGCCTCCTCCAGGCCTCCGAGGCCTAGAACGGACTTCCGGGAGCAGTGTGCATTCAGCCGGTTCTCTGAAGTCAACAAAATTTAACTCCCAGTTCTGCCGAACTGGTGCAAACCGGCTGAATCTCACCACGGATGTAGCCCATATTCATTTTCTCCAGGTGTGATTTTCCAAAATTCCATAAATGTGAATTTTCTTAACTGAACCTTAATTAAGCAACAATCCTTGTACCGCTACTCCATCTTGTTCAGCTAACCTGATCCAAGCGGAGAGCCCCGTCCATGAAGCGCTGTTGACGCAGCTGCTTGGCGATCTGGTGGAGGCTGAGGACGGCTCGGTGGATCTCAGCCACGGCGTGGCAGGGGGAGACAGGGGGCAACTCCTCCACCCCAAACACCCGTCCTGGATCCTCAATCATGCTCTGAGCGTGGTCGTAGCTGAGCTTCGCGCAGGACTGAATCACGGTCCGTCCAAACCATTCGTCGAGGATCTAGAATGTCAAGTTGAGAAGGAGAAACGCGCCACCGTTGTTAAGTGAATCACGGCAGTTGTTAAGTTAGTACAGGTAGTCCTTGACTTACAACCATTCATTTTTGTGACCTTTCAAAGTTACAACGGCACTGGAAAAACAGAGTTAGGACCGCTTTTCACACTTAACCCCCCTCGCAGCATCCCCACAGTCACGGGATCAAAATCCAGCCGCTTGGCAACTGACTCATACTTATGACGGTCGCAGTGTCCCAGGATCGCGCGATCCCCTTTGGCGACCTTCCGACAAGCAAAGTCAATGGGGGAAGCCAGGTTCACTTAAGAACTGGGTTACTAGCTTAACAACTGCAGTGGTTCACTTAAGGACTGTGACAAGAAAAGTCGTAAAAGGGGGGAAAAACTCCCTTAACAAATGTCTCACTTAACGACATAAATTTGGGGCTCCATTGTCGTCGTACGTCGAGGACTACCTATAGTTCTTTCCGTTGCCACTCGAAACCAAGGGGTCTCTACTCATTAGAGATACGCCGGCAACGGATTTTTGATTGCACTTTGCACAATTCCTTCAAACAATCTTAATAGAATAGAATAGAATAGAATAGAATAGAATAGAATAGAATAGAATAGAATAGAATATAGAATATAGAATAGACTAGAACAGTGGTGCCAGAGGCGGTACTCTCTGTGGGCACACGCACCGTTGCCCCAGCCCTGTCTCCTCCCACGGCCCTCTCCTCACCAGCAGCCCCCCCCGAGAGTCGCCCACGGGCGCGACCCACATGAAGCAGCGCAGCCAAGGACATGGTAGCTGGGCAGAGGGGACAAGACTCCGCCCTTGCGCCCCGTCGTGCGCAGATGATGCTGCGGGGCACGGGTGGAGGGCGTGGCCACCATGGCGCTGCTCAGCTGCCTGGGTGATCTGTGGTGGGCCGTGGAGGTGGTGGGTGGCCCAGTGGGCGGGGCGGAGCAGGGACGGGGTTGCGGGGACAGTTTTTGGGCACTCAGTCTCTAAAAGGTTTGCCATCACTGATAATATAGAATATAGAATATAGAATATAGAATATAGACTAGACTAGACTAGACTAGACTAGACTAGACTAGACTAGACTAGACTAGACTAGACTAGACTAGAATAGAATAGAATAGAAGCTGGAAGGGACCTTGGAGGTCTTCTAGTCCAACCCCCTGCTCAAGCAGGAGAACCTATACTATCTCGGACAAGTGACTGTCTAGCCTCTTAAAAATCTCCAGTGATGGAGCGCCCACGATCTTATATTGCTGGAGCAGCGCTAAATCTGTGCAGCCATAGGAACACTTCATGAAGGACGACCTGTGTCCTTATGGCATGATGGCGCATGAAACGCCCCCACTCCTCTCTCTCTCTCCTCTTCCATCTGTCTCATTCCTGCTTGTCGGAAACCCAAGTGTTAACCCAAGGCTCCCATCAATCTTGCCCAGATGACTGCAACCCAGCAGATAACGTCCCAGGCTATTAGAAGCCTTAAAGGCTGCTGCAATGTACATAAACAAATTCTACCAGTGTTAGGAATGCGTTACAGTCACAAGTGCAGTCCTGGCTATAATGTGCATTTTTGGAGAAACAGCTGTTTTCCAACCCCGAGGACAAGCGAAAACGTCATCGAAAGCATTGTGCAAAGCGTTTCTGCCTCAACCTGACCTTGGCAGAGGGCTGAGTTCAAGTCAGGTAACCTGGAGGAGCAGCAGCCACGATGGAGAGAGGGAGGGAAAACACCCCCAAGGATGTTGACTGGAGGGATGTGATTCAGAGGGATGAAGACACACCTCTGCTAATGGTGAATCTTATAAAATTGGAGATCATCTCCCATTGAAGATTTGTTGCTGAGAAGGGACAACGAGAGGAAGAAGCACTTGCCATCCTGCCCTTCAGCTTGAGGGGATAACCTCTGGCTTTGGATGGAAGTATCTCATCCAGAATCAAGTTCAAGTTTATTTATAGTCAAAGACCAGAGACCAGAACAAATAAAAACACTCAATCAATATCCAGTTAAAAATTCTAGAACAAAAGAATAAATAGCAGATTAAAATCCATATTCAAATCACAAATTGGCATCGGGTTTGTCAGTTACACGTGGCCTAACTCAGGAGTAGGCAACCTGGGCTCTTTTATGACTCGTGGACTTCAACTCCCAGAATTCCTGAGACATGCCATGCTGAGGGGAAAGGGAGAGGTTTCCAAGCTGAGCCATGCTGGCTCAGGAATTCTGGGAGTTGAAGTCCACGAGTCATGAAGGGGCCATAGTTCCCCTGTGCTGGCTGAGGAATTCTGGGAGTTGAAGTCCACAAGTCATGAAGGGGCCATAGTTCCCCCACGCTGACTGAGGAATTCTGGGAGTTGACGTCCACCAGTTATGAAGGGGCCATAGTTCCCCCATGCTGGCTCAGGAATTCTGGGAGTTGAAGTCCACCAGTCATAAAAGTGCCCGGGTTGCCTACCCCTGGTCTAGTCCAGGGGTAGGCAACCTTGGCTCTTTTATGACTCATGGACTTCAACTCCCAGAATTCCTGAGCCAGTATGGGGGAACTATGGCCCCTTCATAACTGGTGGACGTCAACTCCCAGAATTCCTTAGCCAGCCACGCTGAGGGGAAAGGGAGAGGTTTCCAAGCTGAGCCATGCTGGCTCAGGAATTCTGGGAGTTGAAGTCCACGAATCATAAAAGTGCCAAGGTTCCCTACCCCTGGCCTAACTAAACTATAATATCAATCCTTAAACTGTGGGGCACGTTAGTCGTTGAATACTAAAGTGCAAAAAAAATAGTAATGCAAAAGGGCGTGCCACATTAGTTGTGAAAAATTGCTAGGGTGGATTAATCATGTTTACGACGAATCCCCAGTGCTGTTGCGCAGAATCTAGCCACCTGCGCTATCATCACAGTCTGTTTGTCTTTAAGCAGTCACTGGAGATAAGCAGTGTCAGAATGGCCAGGATATCTATCAATTATTGGGAGGATATGTTTTTTCCCCGAATATCTCTCTAGAAAGAGCATCAAAGGAGTATGTGTTTATCTCTCTGGAGCAGAAACCAATTGGTTTGGAAGAGATGGGTCTGTACAGATCTACTGGACTTCCCAACAGTGAAGAACCAGGACATCTTTGAGCCAAGTGTCTCTTCTGACACAGCTACTTATTTCTCTAGAAAATTATTCTTCTAGAAAGAGTGCAGAGAAGAGCAACAGAGATGATCAGGGGATAGGAAGCTGAAATATATGAAGGACGGTTGCAGGAATTGGGTATGTCTAGTTTAATGAAGAGAAGGACGAGGGGGAACAGGATAGCAGTCTTCCAGTGTCTTGAGGGCCGCATCAGCATTGCGGTTGCCCTGGGGGGGGGCTGGGGGGGTGCGGCCTACTGGGTGGGTATGGATGGAGTGGGTGTGGCCTACTGGGTGGGCGTGGCCAGCTCTACATTGTTCGCGTCAAGGGTGCCTGTGGGGGCCTGGGCAGGAGTGGGACAGATCTGAGGGTCTCTGGCAGAAGGGGGTGGGACCGGAGCAAGTGCCAAGGCAGGGTCCACTGGAGGAGCCTCACTGCCTGCCGAAACCTTTCCGCCGGAGCCCATCAAGCCGGATAGGTGAAGTAGGCGAGGGCCATTTGGTGGCCACTTCCAGGGGATGGTGCATTTCTTCATTCCTCACAAAGGGGGACACCTCCCCAGCGCACACCCAGGGGGGACGGGGCCGACGCGGCAGGGGCTGGTTCCTCGCTGTTTCCAGATGGCCTTGTGGAGCTAAGACTGAATGCGTTTCAGCATAGATGGCCACCACAAAATTGCACATTGGCTCCCGGGAGGCCTGGGCCAGGGTCA